TAAACCAATGTTATCATCTTATGTCCCCTCGAAGCCCTACAACTTTTGTCTGAAACATTTTTTCCTAGTGTGCTTATTTTTCGAGATATTCGACTGGATGGATTAAAATGGTCCACCCTATATATATTGGCGGTAGCGTGGTTTTGTAGAGCTGTACACGATGAAGACAGAAAAATATATCAGCCGCGGTGAGATTCGAACCTAGGTACTCCGGAGCTTGAAGCGTGCGCGTTATCCACTGCGCTAGCAGGCCGGTGTAGTTGTTGTATGTTCTTGTTTTTTTTTTGTATTCTTGTGTGAGCGGGAGACGACCGCCACAGTACTCCCCCTTCAGTGTACAAGCTCTGATGATTTTTGTTGCCCGTCGCCCGTGGTTTTGCTGTCCTGGAGATGAGGTGCGTGTGTTGAGGAGGGCTTGTTGCCGCTGCGACTCAGTTGTACGCCTGTGCTTCTCCGTTGGGGCTTAGCCGTTCGGACATCGACTGTGCGGAGTGGGCCAGAGTCTTTGAAAGTCGAGGTGTCCGGTTATTGGCTGTGTTACCGTTTGGCGACGTTTGGGCTGGCCGTATGGACGTCGACAGTGTGGTGCGTGCGGACCTCTGCTGCCGAGTGTGTCCGATGCTTGGCCGTAGTATCACGTCGGGGTCACCAATTTGGCGGTAGCGTGGTTTTGTGGACCTGTACACGATGAAGACAGAAAAATATATTTGGCCGCGGTAGGATTCGAACCTAGATCCTCCGGAGCTTGAAGCGTGCGCGTTATCCACTGCGCTAGCAGGCCGGTGTAGTTGTTGTATGTTCTTGTTTTTTTTTGTATTCTTGTGTGAGCGGGAGACGACCGCCACAGTACACATATGAGCGCCACCACAACTGGTGACCCCGACGTTAATAGGAGAGGAACACGGAGAGAGCAAAAGGTCGAAAAATGAAAACCGAGGACAAAACAATAATGTTAGAAGACGAGGACGAGCAAACCACAAACAAGATTACCATAAGGCTGCCGCCATTTTGGCCGGAGGAACCCGAGTTGTGATTCGCGCAAATAGAAACGCAATTCATGCTCGCCCAAGTCACAAAGGACGACGAACGATACGCTTACGCGCTATCGAAAATCGAACCGAAGCAAGCAAAGGAGGTTAAAGATTTCATAACACGACCACCCTCGCAAGGAAAGTACGAAACACTTAAAAAAGTACTCATACAAAGGCTCACGGATTCGCAGAAACAACGAATCAAGAAGCTGTTCGAACAAGAAGAGATAGGCGATCAGATGTCGCAGGAATTGAGACAGGAAGCCATCTCAATTCCTGCGACATCTGACCGCCCTGGCAGGCGCCACAGTCTCCCCGGAGTTGCTGCGAACCATGTGGTTAGGACGACTACCGCCACAGATACAGGCAATATTAGCAACAAGGTCCGCAGACAACCTAGAGGACGTCGCGGAGCAAGCCGACCACATTCTCGAGGTTGAGAGTAAAGCAATAGTTGCGGCAACTACAACATCGCATAAAAAAGCGCAAGCAAAACAACAGATCTCGGATCATCAAATCGAGGCCCTGACTAAACAAGTGGCAATGCTGACAGCGCAAATGAGCGCGATGGCAAAAGCCATGAAACTCCAGCAAAATGGCAGGAGCAGATCACGAAGCCGTTCCAGAATCAAAACGCCGCAAGAACCAGGAATATGCTTCTACCACAGACGCTTCGGAAAAGAAGCTTGCAAATGCACACAGCCGTGTACATACAAGCCGAAAAACGCCGCAGGCGGTCATTAATGGCGGCTAATGACGGCCTTCAACCCTGCCGCCTGTACATAACAGATATTATAAAAACACAAGAATAAAATACTTAGTAGACACGGGATTAGATATCAGCATCTACCCTGCCTCCAAGAGAGTGGCACCCGTTTGGCCACGTTAATAT